CTGCCCAGCCACTCAACCAGGCCCAGCCAAGTTGACACATAAACATAACTACCACAGTCAGTGACATTCTGTTTTTACTAGTTGGACAAGTTGGACAAGTCAGGTCTTTGGAACAATCAGAAGTTATTTAACAGCCATGTCTATTTTCCAAATATTCTTTGCAAGTATTTCCGAAGAAGCCTGATTCATATTTAGGAGGTGTTTTTCTATTAAGATTCCTCATTGTATCTTTTATCTTGTGAGATGTTAATGTATACCATTCCACTTAATTTGTCTCTTCTCCTGTCCCTCGTCTGAAACCATTTTAGTATATAATTTTAATTTCCTCAAGAGGGAAAATTAGTGAGTTGTTTCTGAATTACCCTTCACTAGAATTGCAAATGATTTTAATAACCACTTCAAAGTTCTACCCAAAAGTTGTAACTAAATCTCACATAAGTCATAATTCTTTTTTTCTTCCTCAAATGTCAATTCAACCCTGGAGAAATCATCCTTTTTCTTTTAGTCTCAAGACTAAAAAAACAAATGTTTGTATCCATGATCTAGGTGACATGAGTCATCCTGTGACTAAAGAACATCTCAACTCAACTATCAGACCTGAATGTTATGACAGTAAACATGGGGCTTTCTTTGTCCAATAGAACACTCATTTACTTTGGAATAGAGCACTTACTTCTTTGAGAAATGTTCTCTTTTCTCTCACTTAAAGCATTTTCAGTTACGAAGAGCTGAATTTTCAAAACATAAATTAGGAGGTAATTATTTGTTTAATGAAATAAGATGTATTGAAATAGTACCTCTGGAGCTCTATTTACAAATATTTTGTTTGTATATATACAATTCAATAAAGTCAAATATAACTTATAGACATTGTTTTAGACTGGGTTCTGTAGGGAAACTAAACCAGTAAAGCTTATATATATAGAGAAAGAGAAATTTATCTTAGGAAAATCGCTCATACACTTATAGAAGCTGGTAAGTCCAAAGTTCTTGGATCAAACATCAAGCTGGAGGCTTTTCCCGACTCACTCAGCTGCAGGGGCTGAGGACCTCAAGGTTGTCAGGCAGTATACTGGCTGTTGACTTCAACGAATGACAAATCCAAGATCTCCAGGCCGAATACTGGATTGTTCGCTCACGGACAGCTGTAGGCAGAACAACAGAATCCTGATCCATAGAAGAGTGTCTCTTTTCCCAGGATGTCCATAAATATACTGGAAGCAGGCCACACCCCTAGAAAACTCCCTTTCAATGGATTGGCTGCTCAAAACATATACATCTGATTCCATCATGGGAATAACCACATCATAACTGCTTAAACCACACAGAATTGTGGTCCAGCCAAGTTGACACACAGCTCCAACTATCGCAAACATGTATTGGTCCATATTCTTAATCTTGCAAAAATACTATTGCCTATTTTAAGATTTTTACAGAGAAATCCAGTTTGCATATATTTCCTGAATAACCTATTGTTTTCATTAAGGCGTACGCAAATCCAACACACTGCCATTGAGTCGGATCTGATGGCATAGCAGCTAAGAAATACCAGCTGTCCAATATGTCAAGGCTTCTAGCTCCTTATAGAGAAGGCTTGGTAATTTACCTTAACCTTAGGTTGTTTTTTGTTTATTTGTTTGTTTTTGGAAAGTATACATTCATGCCATCTCATATATATTTTTACCAACTGCCATAAAAAAGAATGAATTATATTAGAGTAGAGAAGAGACATTTTATTTAATTGAAGTAAAATACACATAACGTACAGTTTACTGTTAGTGATACTCCAAAAGGAAACCCTGTATCCATTAAATAATTTTCCCTATTTCCCATTTCCCCCAGCCCTGGCAATGACTAATCTTCCTGCCTCAATGAATTTGCCTATCCTGGGTATTTCATAGAAATGGGATCTTACAATATGTGGCCTTTTGGTGTCTGGTTTCTTAGCATAATGTTTTCAAGTTTCATCCAAGTTGTAGTATGTATCAGCGCCTCATTTCTTTTTATGACTGATATTCTATTGTAGGGATATGCCACAGGTTGTTTATCTATCTGTTGATGGTCATGGGGGTCATTTACCCCTTTCAGCTATTGTAAATAATGTGACTATGAACAAAAATATTATGGACAAGTTTTGTTTGAACACCTGTTTTCATTATCTTGTGTATCTACTCAAGGGGAGTTGCTGGGTCACATGGTAAGTGAGATAAGACCTTTTAAAATGAAATATTACTAAACCAATAAATAGTCCTTTTGGAGAGGGGCATATTGCTATTTCTTTTCTGTCATATTAACAACTTTTCTGGACTCTTACACCTCCCTGAAAATGTGGTGTAGGAGTTTATACTAGGAGACTACAAAATAGCATCACCTACCTATAACTAGGATGAAAATTAACCATGTTTTATACAATTTCCCACTGATATAATGGTGGTTGAAGGTACCCAACTCTAGCAGGTGCTCTGGCATGCATCTTCAGAGAGTAAAGATTATAGGCAAGTAACCAAAGTGTTTGTATATAGCTTTGGAGTCAGAGACACATCAGTTAAAAATCACAGATGGCTTACTAAACTTTTCTGTACCTCATTTCCTCCATACGTAAAATGGGTAATAATCCCTACTTCTTAGGATTGTTATGAGAAAAAGACAGAGCTTAGAACACAGTTGGTACTTAATAAATATTAGTTCTCCTCTTCCCATATGTTCTTACACTATTCAAATTAACTCCATTCTTCAAGACATTATTTTTCTTCTCAATTTCTCTTTCAGGTTAAAATTTATCTACCAAATACAAGCCTTTCTGATATTAAAATGGATGTCCAGGAAATGATTCTTGACCTGCGTACTCCTAAGAAGTGAGTAGAACTTAGGGTTGGAATAGTATATTATAACACTAATGAGTCTTCAGTCAATATTCCTTTAAAAATACATATTGTTATTTTGCATTACTCCCTAATGTCTGCCTATTTATGTTGCAAAATACAGAAGAAAAGTGAAAAAGTCAGTTAACCACCCAGATGTCTGATCTACACAATATAAACATCAATATATTTGGAAATGCCTAGATTATCTTATTTTATTATTATTGTGCTTTAGGTGCAAGTTTACAGAGCAGAGTTTGTTTTACATTCAACATTATGTGTACATTTAGTTTCACTCCCCATTTACCATCCCCAACCCTAACCCAGTCTCCTCCCCTCCCTTCCCAGTAAAAACCACACACACCCTCTATGCCCCTCATAGTTATGCACTTCTTTGTGTCCTGCATTTCCTCCGAACAAATGTTGCCCCTCTGGTGCCTCATGGTCTATTGCTCCAAGGGATACATTTCCATGGAGTATACGGGTGCATCACCCTGGGTTGAGTGGTCTGTGTGTACATCTTGTTTACTCTTGGGCTGAGAGCCAGCACCTGGGAGTGAGTTTTATTCCAGGCCCAGAATGTATCCTGGGACCATAGTATTGGGGGTCTCACCAGACTCCATCTGGTCAGTAATTCTGGTCATTATTGAATTTTTGGATTTTGTTCCATGTATTTCCTCCCACTCTATCCAGGATCTCTAGATTTGATCCTTTCCTGAGTGGTTGGCATTGGTAGCCAGGCACCATCTAGTTCTTCTGGTCTTGAGGGCCATCGTGTCCTAGGGCTGATTGCTTCCAATTGTCCTTGTTTTTT